AGGCATCATCCCCTAGCGTCTGCGTGGTTGTGATACTTTTGAGACGGACCTCACAAAGGGGTGACATCCCTAGACCCCAGCTTCATAGCGCCCAGCCAGCTCCTTTCGAGGCATATGTTCGATTCATGGATATGTCCTTGAACTTGCACGCGCTTCACTTGTGGATGTACAAGGTTCGGTCAACATGTCCAGTCTATGGAACAAATGGAAGGGATGTGGATTCATGATACAACCAAGGTGCCTGACTCGAATCACTTTCCATGTTGAGTATGGGGGCCAACATGTTTCAACCGTGGCCGTGCTGACAAAGAAACGTGGCAGTTTTTTTTGGGTACCCCAATGGTGATTGTCCTGTTGGTTTCCCTGTAAAACCACCAAAAAGGGGTCCTGAAAAAAGACAAACCCATATTGACAACATGCATGTCGTACCACTACACTTCTAAGAACACGTTCGATTACCACTGCTTGTCTGTAGACAACTCGTAGTTGCACCTAAAGGCCATCATTCGCCGCTAGGTTGATCAAGAGACACCAGAAGGAAATCAGCGCCGGTTGGAGGGGCCTTTTGGTGTGCTTTTGATGGGACATCAAGCCGCCCATAGCCCACCTCAAACCACGAACAGCAAGGTTCGGCCTTGATCAAGCCAGCGGACAGGAGATTTGGAAAGACACTAACAGTGCCAGCGCCTGTCCATATCTGGTGAGAAAAGGGTAGTGCGATTCCGGGCAACATCGGCCTCATCCCGCTCCTCCCATGAGCCTGGCAAGGATTGCATTCATTATAGTGGTGCTCAGAGGACGCTATGTGCGTTTTATACTCTGGAAAATGATGGTCTTTCCCACTAACCCAAAAAAGTTATAAACAAACTTCTGCGCAGGGGACACTAGCCACCAACAACAGGACATGTGGGCTGCAGTCGTCCCAACCCCTGCTGTCCGTGCACTTTTACTCAGGCGAAAGTGTTCGCCTACAGGCCCCTGACACTCCCAAACAGCTCCCAGCGAAGACACTCCAAGCAAAGCACCCCCTCCCCAACAAGCTATCAACATGGAACCTCACAGGGGACTCCGGTCCAAAAGTTGCAGGCCAAACTCGCCTCAAGCGACCTGCGGTACAAGGAGCCTCCAAATTGTGTGGTATTCCAGCGTCTGGTGGGTTCCATGTGGGCAAAAGGGCAGGCCACACAACGAAGACGGCACTGGGTGCAAATACTCATCATTGACACACTTGAAAATAAAGAATGCCGCATGCCCAAATAAGGACATTCATTCCGGGAAAGCTCACTTTGCCCGGTGCGCTCGTAATTCCTACGTGGGCTGTCCTGACGTTGGTGGCAACCACTTTGGGATACCGTTTGCAGAAGCCGAAGGAAAGCGGCGGCATTTTGAGGCTACACCTGTCCTTTTCCGATGGATGTTCATGCATCCGCTCTTTCATGGGGGCGGAGCCCACAAAATCCCGTATCATTTGGCCATGATGTCAGGAAGGGCAGGTCGCACTTGGCCCAGCCGAGTACCAGAGCCATGGACACGAGGGCCGCGTACACGACCCCTTCAACCCCCGAAACGACCGCGCCGAACGAGTGGAGTGGCCAAAGTCCGAGCTTGCTTTCCACCACTATAAGCCCCGAATTGTTTGTCTAAAGTCCAGGAAATCCAGTGAGAAGTCGACCCGAGTCAGGTGCCCAATGGATTCAATCCATGGGGAAAAATATGGGAAGGCATCCCCTTTTTCTGGTTGAGAAGGAAGGAATCGGAGCCCAAAACCCCGAAAAAAGAAGCAAAAGGGCGGAATCCACTGGGCCCCGAGCCCTCCACAGGGCCCTGCCTTTGTTCCGCCTTCGTCGGCGCTCGCGTCGCCGGCGCTCGTACTGGCTCTCCTGGCCAGCGACTTGGCCAAAAAGACGATTCGCAGCTTCCCAAGTGACCACAAGAAGTCCTGGAACTTGCTGTTTCCCACTAAAACGGTCTTCCCAAAAAGTGTTCAAAGTCCAGGAACCCAAACAGTGAGCCTTGACTGGAGCCCTTGTACATTAACTTGCGTCTTTTCTGGGGGTATCCTTTTGAAAGTGAGTCAATTCTGGCGATTCAGGCCTTTGTCTGGCTGCAAGTAAGCTAGATTGAACCACCTACAATCTTGGCCGAGGGGTGCATTGCGCGCTCATGTCTCCCAGTAGTCTAGCAGCATAAAAGCGGCCTTGGCTTATGTTTTTAAGGGTGCTCTCTGGATGACGGAACTAGCTAAGCAGGAGATCGGAACCACTGGGCCAAAGTGTAAAGATTTGGTTAACTGTTCACACACTGTTCTTTGGCCCCCGATGGGCCAAGTGCCTTTGCTTTAGCCGCCAGGCAGCAATAAAACCACATGTTTGGCAGTGAAATGGATTCCCTTTAAACTCAACAAGGGACAACTAAACATATTCATTTTCACGTAGGACTTGTAACACATGGCACATGTCGACTTCGAGCAAACCTCCTTAGCAACTTCGAGCCTCAACGGCTTCAGCCGCGTCAGCCTGTCAGCCGGTCGAGAGTCGCAAATGGAAGTGGCTGAAGCTTGTCTGGGCTTGCCATGAAGCGGCCTGTTCCAAGAAGAATCCAAAATCCTATGACACCCAAAAGCGCAGGGAGTGAGTTGTCGACCATTTGGGAAGGCTCCAAGGCCAGGGACAAA